TTTTAATTTTCTTAAATGTAACATTTTGATATATATGGTGTACTGTTAGGAGGCCATGGGATGGATCTTCATTCCACCCAAATGGGTCCTCAGTTCCTCGTCCTATTCATTGGAGTTAGACTGCACAAATACGTGTGTGTTAATCATAATATTTTATTTCTGATTGGGGTAACTTCTCTACAGCCCTGGTTCAGTTGATGCCCCACCATTTTTACTCAAATTCAGGTTAGCTTACCTTTGTTCTATGGTTTGAACTGATAAGAGGATGAGAACGATTGTAATGTAGTAGCAGATTGTTGAGGTGGGGTTGGATATATTTCAGTGTTTCAGTAGTGGGTCTGGCTGGCACCAGAACAACCCAAAAAACCTGCTACTACCTTACCTTTTTATTTGGGATATTTGGGATGCAAGCTGTTGCTCTCCCTCTTCTCCTCATAATTGCTGTTTTAATGCCTGGTTCTGCTGTTCAAGCCCTTTTGCGTTGCTTGTCTCCCATTTCTATTGGCCATTGTTTTTGTTTCAAGCTCCTTCCTTTCTTGTTATTCAGTTTGAGTGTGGGTTATCTAATCTCTTTTAGCACTAGGATGGTACTCTTTGATTCTTTTTTTGTTTTGTAATGTTTGTTGTAGACTTTAGTTACTTGAAGTTGCACGGTATGTGGTATTGGTGACCTTCATAATGGGGTTTGCCAATGCATGCTAAATGTATCACCTAGATTATATTCCTCACTATCAAATCCTGTAAGTGTTCTTCACATTTCTTTTCCCTACATGCAGTAATGAGTTAGTCATCAAGTTTTGTATTTGCCCATTTTCGATAGTGTGGTTGCTGGCAGGTGGTACTATTTACCCAATTGCTATAAGTTGTGTTTTTCCAGCCTCTCCCAACCTTCCCTTTATGCTCTCTTCGTGGAAATCTTAGAATTGAGAAATAGTCCAGAAGTTGGGAGATGTCACTGTCCTTCACAATGCTAGTTCATTCACAATTCTTACCATGTAGATCAGACACCTTATATAATCATCAATTTAAAGGAAACTGTCTAATTCTTAAAGTTAAATTCTATTAACCTTTTAGTCACCTTCAACATGTTGATGACTATCAAAACCTTGCTAAACCAGGGCCTCCTGTCTCACCCTATTTTCCTGTATAAGAGAATTTCTTGTTTATATTTTCATAGAAAAATTGCCTCATTTAAAAGATTTGAGCTTCAGCAGCTTTATTTACTGACTTATTGACACAATTTCACTGTGTACGTTATCGCACAGGCTACACAGTTGGATATTTCATTAGCTGGCTAGGCTTCCTCGTATAATAATTCTTGTTAAAGTCAAAGAATGGGATATGATTCCATCAGTTCAGCTCCATCCAACATATCAGCACTGAAGGGTTCTTCTACCATCCATAGCACCATCGCCAATCATAAGAAAACTCTAATAGTCAAACCATGATAGATCCTTTTCATGAATAGGCTACAAACCGGTGAACTTTATATCCAGTATCATATCATTCTGCAAGCCATTGGATGATCTTCACCATATCTGTTGGCTTTCTGATTGAGTTTTCCAGTTTTACCTTTGAACTCTTAATGCAGTCATCTTTTGGAACTAAGGAAGGAGATTGCTGCCCTTGAGGCAGAAATTTTGCATTTGGAGTGTTATCTTCTCTCCTTGTATTGATCAGACAGCTTTTGAGGAGCGTCTACCAAGTCATTTAAAATGCATGCCAGATTCAGCATCACCAGCGGAAGCAAATCAGTTGCACCACAACTTGCTGTCACTTTTGGAGAAATTGGGTTTTGTGCATCATGATCAACGTTACTCTTACCATGATTCATCCACTTCAGATAGCCAGCATTTCTCATCCAGCTTTAATAAGACAACATCCACAAGGATAAACATGCTTTAGCATCTCCTTTTGTTTACCCTGCTGCCCGTTTGTACCAGCTTTCGTTTTATTAATTGTCTTATGCTTTATGTCATAATTTGCTGGTTTCATGGATCCATCTATGAAGGCACATAAATCAAAAATTACAATTCATCTGTTGCAATTATCCATTTATGAACGCATGCAAATTAAGTAACAAAATTATGTATTTTAAGCATGTGGTTTTTATTTAATGCTAATCAGTCTTTCGTAGACAGAGAAGAAATTTATTTTTGTTTAAAAGGGCAGGGAATACTGTTAGTGTGGGATTTTGAGCAGGGACGTGCCAATGAAGAAGGGAGGGTGGTATGAATTATTTTCAAGGATCATTTCAAATGTAGAGAGAACGTTTATGACTTAAATAAAAGTTTTCAAAAAATAAGGATATGATTTTAAATAAAATGAATTTTATAACAATTTAATTAATTAGGAATTTGGGTTCTTAAATATTTCTTTATCTATTAAGTCCTAAAAAAAACCTTTAATTTTTTATTTAGTCAACTTTAAATTTATAGTTTTTTAGTTTTTTCTTTCTTTCTTTCTTAATATTCTATATAATCATTTAAATTTCTTTATGCCATTGAAGTACATTTTTACCTTTCATGATTGATTTTATAGTAATTTTTTGTATTAAATCAATTAAAAATGGAGTTCACTTTATAAAAGAAATATTCTACTAGTTTTTAATATTCTAGTATTTTTTTTATAATATTAGTGTTTATAAATATGACCTCCAAAAAATTTGGAGGAAAATGTCCCAAAATTATATTATTTCACTAAAATCAAAACACTTTCATTCTTACTTTAAGAATATATTGTTTTTGTCCTTTTCAAAGCGATTTTATTAAAATAATGTAATTTTGTGATATTTTCTCTTAATTTTTTAAAGATTTTATTAACAAACATATTTTTCTTTTTAATTCATTCTTAAATTGATCATTATATGATTTATTACTACAATATTTTATTTTTTATTATAATATATACATTTGTTTATAATTTTTTGTTAAGAATCTATCAATAAAAAAATCACAAGTGAATCATTTTATAAGAAAAAGAAGATTTAAAAGAAAATGAATTACTATCATAAAATATATTCTTGAAAACGCAAACCTTTAATACTAATTTTTGCCCCCCTAACTGAATTTTCTAACTCGTCCCTAAATTTGAGGCAGAAGATTAGAAAAGATACTGCTCTTTTTTTAGTTTTTTTCTACTTCGAATGTTAGCTTACACAATGCGAAACAATTTTTTTCCATCTTTTAACTTATCAAATCTACACTATGGCTTGGAGGTTGGTGCTCTTTTATTTAGTTTTTTTAGTTAAAAACTTGGGAGTTGGGGGACTGTTTATTAAAACGTTTCCATTTTGGTCGCGGCAGTTAGTTCCAAACCGTTTTCTTTTGCTAAATAAATGGAAACTCTTTGACTAAGCTTGGCTGGTCTAGAACAGAAAATATCATTTAAATTTCATCTTTCATTTCTAATGATTCCAATCCATTGAACAATGGTGGGTATATCTTTTTTCTTAGAAGCTAAATCTACACTTTTCCTAATCCAAGATCTGATCATGTATTTGGTTTGCAGATTCACTTTGTCCTTCTTGTTACTCGTCAGGGAAAGGTGAGATTGACCAAATGGTATTCTCCGTATTCCCAAAAAGAAAGAACTAAGGTAAGCCACATTGCATACATTTAATTGTCACTGATGGAGCCTCGATGCTTTGCTAGGTTTAAACCTCATCATCTTTTGTTTGTGAAGGTAATCCGAGAGCTTAGTGGGATAATTTTGACTCGGGCACCTAAACTATGCAACTTTGTAGAATGGAGGGGATTCAAAGTTGTTTATAAAAGGTAACAAGCACAATGCAATGGTATTTGATTAATTAAATTTTTTTGGCCTTTAACTAGAACAAGACTAATCCCAAAGGAACCTGCAAACCCCCCACTTCACAAGCACTTGGCAAAGCTATACCGTCAAGGGTGGTGGATGGCCAATTAGAATTGATTAAGCAATTGATTGATTCATTCTTTCTGATTTCTATACTAGCTAGCTAGAAGTCGTTTGTTAGTTGATCTAATTTGGAAGTAATCTGTTGTATGTGTTCAGATATGCTGGACTATACTTTTGCATGTGCATCAACCGGGATGACAATGAGCTAGAGATTCTTGATATAATTCACCATTATGTTGAGATTTTGGACAGATATTTTGGCAGTGTGAGTATGGATATTGCTAACAAAACCTTCAGCTTTGACAGTAAAAGCTTTATCTGAATCTCATTTGCCTGATTTCGTGTTAGGTTTGTGAGCTTGACTTGATCTTTAACTTCCATAAGGTATTTAATGAATCAATCTTAATATTTTCCCATAGAATAAAGATATATCTAAAAGTCTAACATATGCATTAACAGGCGTACTATATACTGGATGAGATTTTGATAGCTGGGGAACTTCAGGAATCGAGCAAGAGAACAGTTATACGATTGATAGACGTTCAGGTTTGGTTTTGTTAATTGCAATTGAGATTATCTTAAAATTAATGGGTTGTTGGTGTTGAAAATAGAAATGCCTTTGGTGCAGGATACAATAGTGGAGGTTGCAAAAGAGCAGGCCAGTTTAGTGGGTAACATAATAGCACAGGCCACCAAGTAATGCCCTGCCAGATTCTAGCTCGGATCACATCACAACCACAAAGTACAAAAATCTGATGCAATGCAGTATCATTTGTCATTCCACCTATTTGTCATTGATGAATAATAAATGCCATAATTGCAAAAAGTTTGTGTTTTATTTAAAGGAATACCTGTGAGCTTCATTGAAATTTATTAGTAGTTCACTTGTCTAGTTACATGTCATATACACAATCCAAAACACAAGGCAGAAAACACAACTCTGTGTGAATGCGATTTGCTGTAATGTCAAGTAAGCCAACTTTCAACGTACTAAAAACAACCCATATTTCAACAGTAGAATGCGATTTGTTGGGTTTTTTTTTAGTAACTATTTGGTCTGCTTTTGCTAGCAAAGCAAAATTGTAGGACTTTGTTCTACTATCTCAAATAAATGCTTCTAATGGCCCCTTCAATAATATTTATTTATCATAAATAAATAATTAGAGCTTTCCTTTTCCTGCAGGGCTGAGGGAATTAGTTTTGTTAATGAGACCAGAACAAGTTTAATCCTAGACTAGATGCAATGAAAATAAATCATTTCAACCTCAATACGTAATATAGTGCATATTCAAATGATTATTGCTCATGTCTGCCACTAGCAGTTTAATTCTACACAACCGTATGAGTTAAGTTACAGACAATGGGAATTAGTTGTATAAGTTAAAATTCTATAGAAAGACAACTACAGGCTCCTCTACCTCTGTAAGCCAAATCTTGACCAATATCTGATAATTAAAGAAATACCAGATAATAACCAAATAAATCCTTCAGGACCTTGAGGTATACACATGTTTAACTAGTGGCACTTACACAGAAACCTATTGCGAAGATACCATTGATCATAAGATCAATCAGTCTTGCATTTGCGAAGGCACATCCGAAAAACTAATATAGGCACACAAATAAGTCCCACCAAAGCGAGAACCACCACTGCAATATTGAATAAAACAAAATCACAATAAGAGAAACATATACAGAGAAAACTTAGCACTAGATATTGCTGTGTCTATATGGTATGTAAATGAGTTAATGCAGGAAAAACAATCAATGCAAAGAAAAAAATAGGCATTCGGATGTTAGAAGATAATGCAGCAATGAGTTCTATACTCTATAGCGTAACTTCGCTGCTCAACATAAAAACATTCGGAATTGTGTGAGCTAACCATTCAAAAGAATGAAATTCAGATGATTAGATATTAAGGGCAGATTGTTTATTAGTCTTTCATTATGACCTAGCACTTCTGGTATTCTAGCAACCCATATTTCTGCACAGATCCCATCAATACATGTCATGTGCCTTTAAAATACGTGCAGGAAAGTAGATGGTATGAATCACATAGAAGAGAAAGGAAAGACAGGAATGGGAGGAGAAATTTTGTTGTGACTTGGCTCATGGGTAAACCACTTATGTGGAATTGCCAGCCAATAGAAAGATGCTGACCTCAGCATCTTTTTATTGGCTGGGAATCCAGTGACACTAAGCATAACACATTAGAAGTATCCCATGAAACAACTGAATTTCTCAAGGGTTAGGGGGGAGGTGTAAGGAAAAAAAGAGAGGAGAACCATGCAAGTATCAGAAACAACATACAAGATACAAGACAGTAGAACAGAATAGCAAGACGGTATCTGACAATCCAAGGAAGTGAAACTTCCAGAGTACAGTGACTCTGGTGTTCTCTTGCTTTCATGGTAGAACTCTGGGCCTGCAGGTCCAATAATGAAATATTTACACCTGTCACAGGAAGTCCATTTGTATCCCTCACTTCAATTTTTAAAGTCACAGGAGTTGCATCCCAATCTATCTCAATTGTTCCAAAATTTGGTTGGCCTATGAAACACAAAACATCAAAATCTCATAAAACATTCAGACCAAACCATTTATGATAGTGAAAAACAAAGATGACAATAATTACCATATGTACATGATCTATGCCTACAACTCGAGCTCTTAACTCTCATTGTACTTGGTGTATACCACGCTAAAAATCTCACTATGAAATGGAGTGGTGATGGGACTGCTTTCTCAACAGTTTGGGTAAGACCACTTGAGGTAATATCATACAAGGGATATCCAGCTGCACAGTCATATCGTGTAATTTCTCCAAAATGAACATCCCCACTTATAAAGAGGACTCCATCTCTCTGCATAAGAAATTGATATATCTAAGGTGACCCTTTCTTTCAGAACAGCAGAAAGAAATAAAAAGGTTGGAAGGGACTTGGAACTATTTCAACTGCAATGGGGATACCCAACATAAAAAAGTATCTAGTATTAGTATTACCTTACTATTTGCTATCAATCTAAAGAGGCGATCCCTTTCCTTTGGGAAGCGTCCCCAAGATTCCGAATGTAGTAGTGGACCAGTTGTAGCCGAAATATTTGATATAACCTGAAACTTAGAAAAGGAACAATTAGAATTTACAAAATTGAGCATTAATTTAAAGCAAAGAGTAAGAAGCTTGTTTCAAGGAATATATGCAAAAACTAAATTAAATAGTTGAAGTATTGTCTGCAGTTTAAATTCAAGGACACAATGACAAATATGCAATAAGAAACACAGCTGTAATGAAATATTATCTTATACTTTGCTGCCTGTGCTATAGGTAGAGGAAAGTGCATTCTAGAAACCAAGGAATATCGACTGATGAGGAGCTCCATCTACAAGAACAAAAAACTCTAATGCCAAAGTTCAAATATAGAGCTCACAAGCAGAGTGGAAATATTTGAAATACCTGAATTGAGGATCCTATTATCGTAATGGCTGATGCTGGACCCATCAACTCTTTCTCTAACCATGTCCATTGCGAAGCCCCCAAGATAGTTCCGTCACTAGATAAAGGATCTCTGTGATATCTAGTATCCAAGAGTATAATCTGAAGAAATCAGTGAGTGATAATTACTACAAGACATATAAATGTGCCTCTGTAAGGAAATTGACAAATACCATGATGATAAATAATAATAACAATAATAATAATAATAAAAAAAACAGTGGCTCGCCCAGCAATTCAATCAAATTCTATAGACAAGACAGATGTGAACACTTGAAAGTTATTGAATATGCAAGTAACTGGCTTTTATACCTTGACTTGTTTACCAAGAGAACCAAATGTATAAGATACATAAACGCCAGCCTGCTCACGCCTACAAGATAAGGTAATAAATAAATGAATTATAGCACTATTTTTCCCAATGATAGTCGAGGATTATAATTATCAATGAATACAAATGTGGATAAAAATTATAAGATTAATGGGTATATTAGAAAGAAGATATTGGGTAAAAAGCAAATGTCTTTTCTAAACTATGAACAAAGGGTACCTAGGACTATCTTGAGGCTCATCTAAGAAATCAAGGAGAAGCTTCTGATTAGCAACTTTCTCTGTAAATTCTTTTCCAGCATCATTCAGTCCATAATCATGATCATCCCAAGTACCAATTACCTGCAACAATCATCATCCACAAAGGCTAAGCTTAAAAAACATTATTAAATAAGAAAAGAAATTCAGTAAATTAAAAGAAAAACACACCTTAGCATTGGCCCGAAGACGTGAATAATCGGGATTGGCCTTGGCTTTATTGTATCTGGAGAGCATTTCCTGAGGAGAAGAAGGAACGAACATGCGAACATTCTTCCAGGGACCAATAGTCCTTTCCTTTCCAAAAATTCTAAAAGGAAGTCTATTATCTCCATAAATGTTGTCACCCAGCCATATAAATACTTGGGGATCGAACTTGTTTATGGCATCCCAGATGGGCTGCATCATGCGTTTGCTTTTCAATCAATTTCCAACTCCTGATTCCTAGCTGAGACTGAGAGTAAGAGAGAGATATACCGTACCTGCGGAGCGCTTTGGTTGGAGCAAGAACCGAAGGCGATACGAAAAACCAAATCATGTTCGGAATTGGAACTGCCGGAAGCTACATCGGTACTTATCAGTGCCGCTCCGAGTACCAGTGCCAGCAACCACCGTGCTTTCTCCATTCCTTTCAGATGTGGCTTCCGTGACTCTGAGTGAATCCAAAACTGAAAACCATCACCAAAGATTCCGTTTCGGTGAGTTCGCCTCCCTCGCGTAAGAAGTACGAAGAGGCAACTGGAAGTCCGGGAACTTGATCCGCAACCTATTGTCATGCCAAAGTATTGCCAAGTTCGGTGGGAATTTTATTTTATTTTTAATTTCACCTTTTCCACTTTTTGTTTTTGTAACTTTTTAACGTATATATA